TGATAATTGTAAGGGTCGCCGAAACGTTGCAGTTTTAGGGCAGATTTTACAAAATATCGCAATGGGAGATCATCATAAGCATAGCGTTAATTAGCGTTAAATATCATTAAATTTTAATTCACCATATCACATGCATATTTTAGATGCGTTAATTAAATAATACTATAATTTACAAGAACGAATTTTAAAAAAAAATAAACTTGACCTGAACAAGCAAATTTATATATTTAATACTGGCCGAAATTAACTACTTTAATCCGTTATTAAAGATGGAAATTTAGAGAAAACTGATTCATGCAAAAAAAAGTTCTTTGTTTCAACTAAAATGTTTATTGGTGTAATATTCTTTTCAATATTATTAATGACTGACGTAATTCAAAAAAAGATTTCATTCTTATGCAGAATAATCATAGTCAATGGAAAAGTCTTTCAACGAACAATGAAAAGAATGCTTACAAAAGAAACTAAAACTGTCTATAAATATAAACTTTCAATGAATACCAAAATAAATAAATAACAATAGATTACGGAAATGTTTCAAAGGTCTTTGAAAAACTTGTTTTTATAAAATTAGAATACAGTTCTTTGATAATTAAATATTTTCTAAATCTAACCTTTTAAATAAATGATTTACCAAATATAATGTTGCTTGAGTACAAGTTTAATTCATTATAACTAATTTGCTAACCGTTTTACGAGAAAATCAGATTTGTAGTTCTGAACATTTCAGAGTTCAATTATCCTATAACCGACTAAAATACTTCTCGCCTCACATTGGAAAAATTAAATGACCATTTCTATATTAAAAAAAAGATATAAAAAAGGGTTGGAATTTTTCAAACTTTTCAAATAAAAAAAAAATAAAAATAATTTCCATTAAACAAATGGATAGCGAAATTACTACCTAAAGCACAATTATTTCTACTTAATATTAAAACGCAAAAAAACAAACAAATAGCGACACATCAGTTTCTAAAAATAAACATTAAATTGAGATGGGAAAATTGCTGTTACGTTCGACTTTGGTAAAATTTTGCTCAATAACCATTGTATTTTATAATAACATGACTAATCATTCAAAATTAAAATTCTCTTTTTTGTTTTTTTTAATTGATCTGAAAATACAGATCATCTTAAATTCAGCATCAACAAGAAACAGAAAATTCATACATCTCAAGAAGACTTAGAACAAAATAAAACCGATTTAACTGATGAAATTAATAAAAATATAGCTTCTTTTAAAATAAATGATGATTTAACTTTTAAAAATTCGGAAAAGTCCGTGACCAATCAGATGTTCCATTAAAGAACAACAACCAATTTAGATGGTCATTAGATATATCGAGCATGAGAAATTATAATGTTGGTAATTTTATTTTTGTTGCTGTTTCCTGCATTGATGTTGAGAAGGATATGAAAAAGAAAGAAAAGAAAGATAAGGCAGATATGAAATATATGATTAATGTGGAGGTGCAAACGAAGGAAAATAACTACAAAACACCACAAGAAAATATTATAATGAATGTTCCTGATAAAAGAACTGCAATATAATGTCTTAAATTAGACCAATACAATTTAGTTAACAGCAAGTTTATTCGATCTTATAATTTGAGAATTTGTAGATTTATAGAAGATAATCAATTAAAAGGATATAATGATTGTATCTTGAAAAGATTCATTGTAATGAACATTAATGAGATATATAACTTTGAATATAGTTTGGGTAGCAATGGTTTAACGCTAATGAAAGATTTTATTATCCGAAAATTTTTGAGGAAGAATTAAAAAATTGGTATGATGATGAAGGTATATCGGATTGCATGAACCGCCTCCTTTCATGTATTTATGACAAATACTTTTTGGTTGAATATTAGAAAAACAACGTACAATTTCTTAAAGGTAAATAAAGAAGAACCATTTAACATATTTAACGAATTTATATTAACGAATCTGTATTTTAGTATTTGATTTGATAGAAAAGCAACATAAAAAGAACAGAAAGCATAAAGAAACATTTAAGAAAGTACAACAAGTATTCTTATTTAATTGATAAGCAAAAAATTGCAACTTTTTTACCAGAAGTCAATCTATTAGTTGACATTACTTTCAATTACGTGATTCTTGTTTCAATATATTAATTTTTTCAAACCTTATCAGGATATATTTTATGAAGAGTGATTTGGAGTTTAATAGAATTCATTGACAGTGATGAGAAATCACTAAATAGTTTATAGTGATGAAGAAAAAAATCAAAAACTTATTATCTGGGATTTATATTATGATTAAAACATTTCCATTATGTGAAAACACTCATTTGGCTAGAACTTCTGGAAACCTTTTACAAGTTAATAATAATGGAAAAATTACCTCAATGCTTAAGATGATTGATAATGGATTAAAGAAGAATACAATAAAGAAATTAATGATCAAAATTTCTTAGAATATACTGCTGAAATTGAAAAAGATCTTATATTTAATAAAGGAGAAATTTCTTAGAAAAGGCGTGCTGTATTTTCTTATAATAAGAAGTTCAAGCTATTAATTAATAAAACTGAATTATGGGTAATAGATTATTATGATAAAATATCATTTTATTTCTATAATAATTAAATAAAGGTTTTGTAATTAATAATTGAAAGAACTACTATTCAAATTTAGCATAAATTTTTTTCAGATCCCAAAAATAAAGTTAAAGAAAAAGAAAAGCTTTCTAATCAAGAAAAACTATTTCTTGAATTTATTTGGATAAATGGAATTTCAATAGATTAAGAAAGTAAAAAAAATAAATTACTTATTAAGAAGCATACATTCAAACTAAAATATTTAATTTGAAAATTTACTGGTATGAAAATAATTCAAGTAAAGAAGTCGATAAGATTAGTATGAAAGAAAATATGAAAATAATAAAAGAAATTAAGGGAAAAGTTTTAAAAAAATGATAAAATAAAATCATATTAATGAAAATATAAATGGAGTAAGATACGTACATAAAGTAATTCAAGTAAAGAAGTCGATAAGATTAGTATGAAAGAAAATATGAAAATAATAAAAGAAATTAAGGGAAAAGTTTTAAAAAAATGATAAAATAAAATCATATTAATGAAAATATAAATGGAGTAAGATACGTACATAAAGTATTAAAGCATCTTAATAAGTATGCCTAATTTATAAAATCTTTTGTAAATTATTATAAAGTATATAAAGTAAATATGTTAAGCTTTTTAATTATTATTTTTTATAAAAAAAATATATATTACTTAAATTTTCTTCTTATTAAAAAGTATGAAAAATGATTATGTATATTAGTCATATACAGTCAACCCTTGATATAACGAATTTTATGTCCTGAACTTCAACTTCGCTATAGAGCTATAGTGAATTTTTTAAAGAATTTGATTGGCTAGTTCGTTATAACGAGGGTAAATTTAATATAGTTGTCCAAAAAATTCGTTATATAAAAATTCGCTATAGAGAGGTATGACTGTAATCTGAAGATATATTATATAAAAGCCAGATCAATACAGATTATTTGACGTTTGATATAATATTATGAAAAATTTAATTCCTCGTGATTATAATCTATTAATTAAGTTTATTCTATTTGAAAATAATTTAAATAATAATAGATAATATAATAAAATAAGTAAGTATTTTATAGTAAGAATAAGCAATCAATATCTGATTTTGTTTATAAAAGAAATTATTATAATTATTATTCATATATCATATCTATAATTTAATGAAAAGATGTTATTGAGTGAAAAATTGGTGGTGATCATTACTAAATTTACTAACTTTTTCGCTTAATTGGGATGTGTATCGTACAGATCGATATGAATTAATTAATAAATGTTTCGAATTAGATAATTTGTGATACGAACAATTTATCTGCATTGTATAATATATATATATGCATATTCAATATGCATATAAAAAACTCTCTCCCCTATTTTACAAAACCAAAATTTTCACAAGAAAAATAAAAATTTAAAAGTTCGTTTTTAACAA